AGCGATATCTGGCTCATAGTCATCTTCATCTTCAACTGCAAGTGGAGCAGGTTCCGATGTGTCAAGTCCAGGAACAGCAACATCATGCCATTCATCATGGTCACGTCTCACCTTCGATTGATTAACACGCATGACTGCGTTGTCAACATGAACATTGACCATAGCACCTTCTTGAGAGATAACAGTACCTCTGATCCATCTTTCCTTCTTCCATGCCTTTGAAGCAATAGCATTAGCATTGACAGGGGAACTCCAAACGAAAACCTTGTCACCTGGTTTGTAAGGTCCATCTGATGGCATTGTTCGTTTGGCCATGTCATGTCTGAGGTCAGCAGCTTGTCTGGCTTCCTGATGTGCCCTCAGTGCTAACCTTTGCAACTCGAGTTGTGTTCTGTCTTCAGGTAAAGGGTCAACACTAAGTTGAGCAGGATCAGAAGTCTCAATATCCAGAAGATCTGGTGGTCTTCTACCAGTGGCCATTTCCAAAGGAGAATAACCACTAACAGTGAGTTGAGTGTTTCTGGCCCAAACAGTACGCTTCACAGCTTCTCTGATGGTGATTCCCTTGAACCTATCATCTTCAAGGTTCTTGGACATGATTTGCCATTGTCGTTTGAAAAGTCTGACAGCTGATTCAGCTCTGTTAGGCCATGGGGTTCTTGAACCACAGGGACATTCCTTGATACCATGAGTTCGGTAATAAGTCAGAAAGTCTTCTTGAAAGAAAGCTTCATCACCTACAATGGCTTTAGGCATACAATTGTGTTCATCACTCCACAACCTTAGAGCCTGAATGGTCTCCTTGTTGTTCAGTGAGTTTTGTGCCGTAGCCCAAAGTAAGTTGGTTGCACCATCAAGAACAAGCAACACCATGTACTTGTTCTTCCTCAACTGAATTTCAGCATGATCAACAAAGATAACATCTCCAAAGTTGGTGGATCGTATGCCTGAAATTCTGGCTCGCGGCGGTGGTGCAATTGAAGTACTACACACACGACACTTGTTGTACATCTCCTCATACTTCTGATAAACAGAGTCAGGAAGTCCTAACATGGAAGTCCTTCGTCTGAATTGAGTAGGAGACATGTGATAGTGTTTGATATGAAGCTTGTAAAGTTCCACACTATCCTCCAGTTTCCTGAGCATCTTTCTGTATGCTGGTGTCATGGCTTGCACTTCACTACCAGGCAGTGGAATCGAAACTCGCCTAGGCTCAAGAGCATCACTACCTAGTTTCTCAACTTGACTTTCTGAATCTTGCTTACCACGGTTGCGCGCAGGTGCAGAATGTTTTGGTTCAATGACTTGAGGTTCATCTGAATCAATTTTGTCCAAACCTAACTCCCTAGCTACCTTGTCAAGCTCATCTTCTTCATCAAGCTTGGGATAGGAGACAACAACCTTCTTTCTTGATGAACCTGATTGAGAGTCATCGACAACCTGAGGTTTCTGCTTACCTACGTGTCTTTTGGCTGCAGGTGGACCTACCTCAATCTTTTTCGAGCCTGGTCCATTTGAAATCGGTTTGCCTTCCTCCTTCTTTAAGGAGCTTGGCTTCTTCTTCTGTACACCTGATGGCACTGAAGAGGCTGACTCAGGGTGAAAAAGATCATCAATGTTTCCACGAAAGGGCTTTGCACGATCAATGTCACTTCTGACAATGTCATCTGGGATCACGTAGTCCTCCTTGATCTTGTAGATGGTCTTGCCCTTCCAGAACTCTTCACTCTGTTCAGAAAACCTCTTCTTCTCAGTGCGCCAGTTGTCCTTGTGAAGAACCTTCTTCTTGCTCTTCTGGAATTCCATGTGGGATTCTCTCTCATCAAGAAGTTGATCTTTTGGAATTGGAGTTTTCTCTGATCGAGTCATCTCATGTAAGTTCATTCTCTTGTCCTTGTGGTGCCTGATGAGTTCACGACGTAGTGGATCAACCTGCCAGTAGTCACCAGTCACCAAAGCTTCTCCTTCATGATCATCTTGTTTGACAGCAATCTGGCTGTACTCAAAGTGATCGTGTTGTGAATAGAAACTTTTGACTTGTGGAGTCTTGAAATGAACTTGGCTCATGTACCATGCTACATCTTGTAGGTCGAGAATGAGATGAGTACTAATGGCTGTCCTCAAAACCATTTTTCTCATGCCAATACGTGCACAGGACAAATAAGCCTTCTCTGGAGTAAGTTCAAATTGAAATCCAAGGTTTCTCATCTGTGGAAGTGACATCAACAATGGGACATCACCTTCTTCGACAATGTCGAATTCTGTAAACTGAGTGTTCCATCCATGATCATACATGAATATCACGAGCTTCTCAGTACATTTTGATTGTTGTGAGTTTGCAAAGAAGAATCTTGAACTTGTTGGCTGAATTTCATACCAGAGTCCACTGTTGGGATGTGAGTCAACATATCTGCAAAATGCTTCAACTGCTCGTCGAGAGCCCATAGCTCTTGTGCATCCAAGATCCAGAATACACACAGTTGGTGGTGCAGAATTCTCTGTGTGAAAAGCTAGTCCATTCTCACATGCCAGATCAGTTTGTACAGTATGAAATGAAAAAGCACTCTGCTGTGATGGTTCCTCTATCTCTGTAGAGCATCCATGTGAAAACAATGATGTGCCTTCTGCCAATGGCTTCCATGAAGCCTCACCTTCTTGAAGACCAACTTGCCTGGGCACTACAGCTGGACGTTGTTGTACACCTTGTCGTAGTGCACCAACTTCTCCAACCAGAACAGGGAATCTCTTCATTTCTCTCCTGTTTTGATGTGCTCTTGCATCACGTTGGTTCTGTCCTCCACGACGAGTACGTCGTTGTTCATCTTGTGCTGCATACGTGGATGTCAAAACATCAACACGTGCTGGCTCTGTCTCTGCAACATCAACACGTGCTGGTTCAGTTGTTCCAAATGAAAAGAAACCATGACCAGAACTTGAAGCTGCAGAAGAATAATGAGCTTGTTGAGTTGGTTGATTCTGTATGGCAGGAGCTGATGTGGTCTGAGGTTGAACATAGTTCGACTTGCCTTTTCCATCTCCTGGCTTTCCTCCTTTTCCATCATCATCCTTGCCTTTCTTGCCTTTCTTTCCTTTTCCTTTTCCTTTTCCTTTCTTCTGGAAGTATCCATACTCATCCATGTAGTACAGATCATCATAGGCCCAATAGCCTTCATTCCAGGTTTGATCATCGGCCCAATAGCCGTCATAGTTTTCATTCCATTCATCTTCTTGCCATTCATCTTCATAACCTTCTTCACTCACCATGTGAGCACGGCCTTTTCTTCTTCCTTTACCTCGGCCTTTTCCTTTTCTTGATCTGAAGAACCTTCGTCCTCCTCTGCCTTTTCCTTTTCCTTTTCTCTTTCCTTTACCTTTGCCTCGTCTGATGTATTTGCCTTGGAACCTTCTCTGATACCATGTGAAGTTGGCGTCATCATAAACCCAGAAAACATCTTCTAAAGCATCCAGGAATCCTTCTGCGCCGTCTTCTTCATCTTCGGCCCAATAGCCGTCGGTTCCTTCTAATTCACCTTCATCCAGTACGAGGAAAGATCTTCTCTGTGCCATGCCAGAGGGTTGCATCAATGGATTGTCAACTGCTGTTTTGGTAGTGCAAAACATTTCCAAAAACAGGTCACGTAGTTCTTGAATGTTGTATCGATCGAGGGTTCGTCCACGATGTGTCATGATACTTGTGAGTGTGTTTCTCTGATCTTGACTCAGGTCAGCTAGACTTACAAAAATCAATGCTAGCAAATTTTCACCCAGTGGGAATGCTTGTCGCTGTGCTTCTCTACGATTTTCCTGAAATTGTCTGAATGCCGCTAGTGCCAGTTCATCTGTCCAAGGAACAGCTACATGGGGTGTTCCTGAGGCTGCTGCTACTTCAGCTCTCTCTTGTTGATCTCGTTCATGTTCTTGACGTCGTTGTTGAACAAACAGGATTGCTTCAGGACTAGTCACTGTTACTTCTGGAAGTAAATCCATCCAAGACTCAATAAGTCTATTGCCAGTGAGTTGAAATCTAGTCATCCACTTCTGAAGATCCATTGTTCCTCTGTTGAACTTCATGAACTGCATGAAACGGTATAAGAACACGTTCTGGGCACCTTTGATGAAATGAGGTCGTAGAAATCTTTTGAAATAAGCCACTCCTTCATAGGGATCCCTGAGTAATTCTCTATCCAATAGCCTCTTGTATTGTTGAGCATCTCCTTCCAGTCTGTTGCGCAATGCTGGACCACGTTTCTCTGGTTCTAACTCCGTAATGTCACACCAGTCATCAATTGCATCCTCAAAAGCAAAGAAGCTGGTTCGCCCATCATAGGCTGGAGCAACCTTTGTGGTCATCTGTTGCGTCATATGAATCTGTGTATGCTGGGGTGCTCTTCTCATTGCATAAGAGTCATATTGGTTCCATTCATTTGCATCGACAATGTCGAAGTCATCATCATCATAGCCATGGCTTGCCATTTCTTGGGCTCTACCTGGAGCTCACCCTCAATGAGGGATCACTGCTCCGCTACCACTTGAAGAGGGGCCCTAGCGTCTACTTCAAGATCAGCTAAGGCGTCTTCCCCAATGACAGCACTCTTTTACTCTCAGCCTGTTGCCGGTCAGTGCTTGTCTACAGGGTTACTCTATATACCTCTTTCTTGAGCCTTGAAGGCGCATATAAATGTGCTCAATACTCATGCATGTACCTATGTAGGTATTAGGTCGAAACAAAAACATGGGGGGGGGGGGTACTAAAATGACTAGCAATCTCCTGAAGAATCAGGTAACGGGGCTGGCCGCCCTCCCCTTTACTTCGTAAAGTAAAACTCAAGGTAGCCCCTCTGGAGCTACCTTTCGTGATATATATATATAATATAAATAGATATATACACATGTTGATGTTGAAATAAACGATTATAAACTCACCGGGTGCACCTTCAAACTGACCCCGCTAGGTTTCTCGAAAAAAGGACTTGATGGACTTCATCGTCGTCAGAGCTCTCCTGATTGGCTCTGTCACAGGAACCAAGGATTCGCCATTGGCGTTGTAGCGCTGATCACAAAGACCTACTCGAATCTTCCCTCTCCTGCGAGGAAAATGAGGGTTGGGGTTGATTCTTTATGCCTCAAGGACCACAAACTGTAAGCATTCTAGATGGGTGCGAGGCTGATCACCAAACAGCAACGTGTGATTGAGTTTCCATAACACGTTTCGAGCATCCTATATGATATATCGTAGACATGGACATATGTTCAACATCAACTAAACATATCATATCACTTACTGTATGATGTATATATATGTAATACATTGTAGTACAGATAATCTGTAAATCACACATATATATATATCATATATATATATTATAATTATATACGTCTAAAGATTATGTCGTAGCCAGCGCAGCAGGTCCTCACCAGATTTTCTGACACCATCCGCAACGTGTTGCAGTCAAACTGCATCCTGAGCAATTCGAATGTTCCGACAAAGCGATCCCTGTATTGAAACGATCATGTTGTCCTTTTGTTGCTGATACCAGGATACATATAATTATATATATAACTATATATATATATATTATATAGTGATATATAGTGTGTATATGTGTATATATATATATACACGCACATATCCTAATGGTTAAATTCTGCTCAAGTATATATATATATATATAACCAATCATCTATAGAGGTCTCCTCGTATTGCGGACTATATTGTTGTGTCTCTTGGGCGCCCTGGTGTTTTCTTATTCTTAGCTCCTATTGGCTTGGTGCTTTCGGCCCCAGAAATGGGCTGAGCGTCTTGTGTCCCCTGGTTCCCCACTTTGTTTGAACCACCATTGATTCAGGACCACAAACAAAACATCATTGATGATTAACTCCCAATTCTTCATGGTTTGTTTAATGGTATAATATGCAATATAATAATATTATTATTATACAATATGTGGAGTCATATCATATAATATATATATATATTATATATATCAATAAGTCATATAGATATTACATCAATTATGACTCCACATATATTATATGATACATACATACACTAATTCTCCAGTTTTTTCCAATGTCTGTTGTTTCGTCCAAGGATCAAGGACAGCCGAGCTCCACCGTTGGGCCGGCGGCTCCAGAACTTGGCCATGCCTAGCAAAATCCAGCAAACATATGGCTAAAATAGTGAGAAACATATGGTACCCCTGTAGTTCACATCAAAATAGCTGGGATTCATGGATGTTCATTCCCCTAAAAATGGTATTAATAGGTATTGATCCATACACATATGATAAATTACTGTGATATATATATATATACACTATTGATTGTATTCTGTATTATATCCATATGGGACTTGCTATCACTTCAACTGTCTAGTGAACTAACAGTTTGCGGACTGGAAGCCATGGACCATTCAGTTTGATGATTTACCTATGAAGAATGGTGGTTGTCCGTATCTATGTTGGTTTACTTAAGGATAATTACGAATTGCCTATATAAATTACCCTGGCGCCCCAAAAAGAACAGCTAAGGGAATGGCTGGGAAGCACCATGCTAGTGAATATGCAATGCATATCTTGATGAAATCAATAAGCTTAGAGATAGAAAGGAGCTGTTCAGAATATCACAGAAATCCACGTTAAACCATCCGGACCTTGACATCAAGTTTATACTATGCATAGTTGTGGGATATGCGTCTTGAAGCTGTGCTTGCGTGGACTGTTTCTCCGAAAGATCGAGATCCTCCTATCAATTTTTGTTTTGTAATCATCCCATGTGATATTTGGTTGGGCTTCAGAACCCTAGGAAGTCCCCCGGCATTCAGTGTGCTTCTCCCATAGTTTTTTTCCGGGTAATTAAATACATAAGTTAGTCTGAAAATAGTATATATAATTAATTAACCCCAAGTCCAATGGATCATCACTTTCCATCACTTTTCCTATGGAACACTGCCATGATTGGGGAGTTCATTTTCTCGAAACAAACACTCTGATTCACCACGGCTCCGAGCCGCGCCTGCCCCCCGTGCTGTGGCTTTGAGCTCGGGATGCGGAAGACACACGCGGCAGTCGCTGCGACGATTCAGCAGCCAATACCTCTATGGTGAAATGGTGACCATTTCACTCAAAAAAAAGGATTCTACCAAAAATGGGGAGCAATAACACGGAGGGTCAACAATCAAAATGGGGATATATATATGGTGCAGCGTTGGCCACCCCCCCCCCCCCCCCCCACCAATGGGGTATGGGTGTGGACAGTATCGTCTGGTTCTTCTGGTCCCCCCCCCCCTGTGGCCTGTGGTGGTGGTATGGTTCTTCTGGTCCCCCCCCCCTGTGGCCTGTGGTGGTGGTATGTTGGTATGTTGGTATGTTGTATGTTGGTATGTTGGTATGTTTGTATGTATGTATGTATGTATGTATGTATGTATGTATGTATGTATGTATGTATGTATGTATGTATGTATGTAATGTATGTATGTATGTATGTAATGTAATGTAAGTAATGTATGTATGTTGTATGTAATGTATGTATGTAATGTATGTAATGTATGTATGTAATGTATGTATGTAATGTATGTATGTATGTATGTAATGTATGTAATGTATGTATGTATGTATGTTAATGTATGTAATGTTATGTATGTATAATGTCAGTATGTAATGTATGTATGTATGTATGTATGTAATGTATGTATGTAATGTATGTAATGTATGTAATGTATGTAATGTATGTAATGTATGTATGTATGTATGTAATGTATGTAATGTATGTATGTATGTATGTATGTATGTATGTATGTATGTATGTATGTATGTATGTATGGAATGTAAGGTAAGGTAATCTAAGGTAAGGTAATCTAAGGTAAGGTAAGGTAATGTAAGGTAAGGTAATGTAATGGTATGTATGTATGTATGTATGTATGTATGTATGGAATGTAAGGTAATGTAAGGTAAGGTAAGGTAGGGTAATGTAAGGTAAGGTAATGTAATGGTATGTATGTATGTATGTACGTAGGTATGTAGGTAGGTAGGTAGGTATGTAGGTATGTATGTATGTATATACACCACCACAGGGGCATCATACCCCCCCCCCCTCCCATGGGGGGGGGGTGGGAACACGGGACACGGGACCATATATATACTTACTTGATGATGGTGGATTGATGACTTTACTACGTGTTTTTTTTGCAGTGGTATGTAATGGCTACATTATAACACACTATGGTTCGACATCATAGCTGTCAAACATGTTTCCACTTGTATCCAAGTGTTGGGTAGAATCAAATCTAAACACAATAATTAATGCATGTTAATGTGGCAAACCATGGCATAATGCTAAACCTCCCCTTGATACCATCCATTTCTGGTAATTCATTGGGGATGTTTTATGACACTGGGGTACTTTTTGGGTTTACCACATAAATGTTCACCGCGTGTGGGATGATTCGCCCTCGAAGCCGTTGGCTGTCTTTCGTCAAAAACCTGGATGGTACCCGGATGGTACCCGGATGGTCAAAGCTGGTGAATGGAGGTTTCTTCCCCCAGTCATATGGTAATAGGTAACTTGACCCATCCCGTTTAACTATAACAACCAATAGTGGCATAGTGGCATAAAGCACTCGCCTGCCATTCATCAGACCCACCTCCAAGATCCTCTAAGAACAGATTTCATGGTAGGTCTGGCGAAAAACGCCATGTTTTCCCTCCACGTAAACCGGATAGTCTGATATCCCAAAATGGAATTTAATCTATGTAATTTCACGTAGTTTCATGGTTGTGTTTCCTTATCAGCAATTCGATAATCTATATCAATCTATATCTATCTACATCTATCTATATCTATCTATATCTACCGATATCTATCTATCTATCTATCTTTCTTTCTATCTATCTATATCTATATCTATATCTATACCTGTCTATCTATATATTTATATATATATATATCTATCTATATTTATCTATATCTATCAATATCTATCTATCTATCTATCTATCTATCTATCTTTCTTTCTTTCTTTCTTTCTTTCTTATCTATCTATATAATCTATCTATCTAATCTGTCCATCTAATTTATCGATCTAATCTATCTAATCCATCTAATCTATCTAATCTATCTAATCTATCTAATCTATCTATCTATCTGTCTATCTATCTGTCTGTCTATCTATCTATCTATCTATCTATCTCTATCTATCTCTATATATCTCTATCTATCTCTCTCTATCTATCTATCTATCTATCTATCTATCTATCTATCCATCTATATCTAAAGTTTTATATCTATATTTCTAAATCTATGTCTATATATATCTATCTATATATATATATCTATCTACCTATCTATATCTATCTATATCTATCTATCTATCTACCTATCTATCTATCTATCTATCTATCTATCTCTATATATCTCTATCTATCTATCTCTATCTATCTATCTATCTATCTATCTATATATCTAATCTATATCTATTTCTAGCTATCTATCTATATACATATATATATATATATATCTAGATCTATCCATCCACCTATCTACCTATCTATCTATCTATCTACCTATCTTTCTTTCTTTCTATCTGGCTATCTATCTATCTTTCTCTCTCTATCTCTCTCTATCTCTCTCTATCTCTATCTATCTCTATCTATCTCTATCTATCTCTATCTATCTCTATCTATCTCTATCTATCTCTATCTATCTCTATCTATCTCTATCTATCTCTATCTATCTCTATCTATCTCTATCTATCTCTATCTATCTCTATCTATCTCTATCTATCTCTATCTATCTCTATCTATCTCTATCTATCTCTATCTATCTATCTATATATCTATCTATCTCTATCTCTATCTCTATCTCTATCTATCTATCTATCTATCTATCTATATCTATGAATATCTATATCTATCTATCTATCTATCTATATCTATCTATATCTATCTATCTATATCTATCTATCTATCTATCTATATCTATCTATCTATCTATCTATATCTATCTATCTATCTATCTACCTATCTATCTATCTATCTATCTCTCTATCTGTCTGTCTGTCTATCTATCTATCTATATCTATCTATCTATCTATCTGTCTGTCTGTCTGTCTATCTATCTATCTATCTATTGTATAATACATGTAAATCTTGTAGATAATTGAAAGTTACATCTTCCACCAATTTTTTCGCCAAAGGGCTGGGTAAAAAAGACCAGTCGCACGGAGCGAGGTGAATACCTTGGCCGGCAACCCGAAGTCTGTCTCCGATGGTGCCCTACAATAGCTGCGATAGCTGGATGTTTATTCCCATTGGTTTCCACCAAATATGGTAATCCTGTAATGTATTTGGTGGAATTTGATATAATCTTAATTAATAACTAAACTGGCATATGTTGGTAATAGTGCATTATTAATAATAAATATAATGCTGGTTGGTGGTTTTAACATGTTTTAACCATCTTGAAAAATATGAAAGTCAATGGGAAGGATTATCCCATATGACATGGAAAAATAAAAGCCATGTTCCAAACCACCAACCAGCTGACAGTTTTTATCCATCCCCACATGGTGATTTTCCAATTGATGAAACACGGCGATTTGCCGTTGCCAAAAATGGCTATACGATGTTATATGAAGTCATGTGTTCCGTCAATATGAGTCAAAATATCCGATTTTATTGCCTTCTGATCTGATGGAAGAGATGGTAGATACCCAAATGCCAATGTTTGGTATTAGATTCACCGGGAGTCATAATTCCGTTTGAATTGGACGATGTGGCTTTCCCATTTCCAACGGAGAAATGTATGTTCTCCTATCAAAATGCACATGTTTATTATCCATTCTACCCTCCAGCAATCAAACATAGCAATGGAAAATTCACCATGTATATATATATATTTATATTGATTAGCTATAAACCTCCATGAATTAGTTCGGGGATGTTCCAGCTAACCACGTTTGCCGAAGAGTACCCAATTTTGCGACCCCTGGTTGATGCTAGAGCTCCGTGTTTTGTTTCCCTGGCAATGGACAGTCCCAATATTTCGGAAATGTCCAGTTACCCTCTGGTAATTTAACATAACTATGGAAAATCACCATTTTTAATGGGAAAATCCACTATAAATGGTAATTTTCAATAGCTTTTTGTCAAATTACAAGAGGGTAGACCCTGCAAATAGATGAACAATTGTCATTTTGAGAAAACATATTCCAACCCCAATTTGGCAGGTCTATGTGAATCTTGGGGAGCGTACTGTGTTGGTTAAAAGAGGTGTTGATAGTCATACAATGACCATTTTAAGGTGGGACACCCCAAACCTTGCGTAACAAACTCAAAAATTGTGCCTCTTGTTGGCGGCGAAATATCTGTCCATCCCAAACTTACGGTAAAGAAAAACATGTTTTTTCAAACAACAATCTCCAAAAACACACTAAATCGGTGAAAACAATTCCACCAATCCCATCATATCCTATCATATCCCATCATATCCCATCATTTCCCATCATTTCACATCAATTCCCATCATTTCCTATCATGTCCCATCATTTCCCATATTCTTGGTACTTTTTCCCCAACAAAAACAACAAAAACTGGGACCGAAGCACTGTCGCACTTGTAGGGGCGACCAATACTCCGACATCGTCAATCCGGGCTCCGTCTCCAACGTCACCGTGAGCTTGGCCATCTGATCTGCCTGGAACTGTCTGATGGGCGACTTTATCAATGGATGGAAGCATTGAACCATGGTTTTGTTCGTTGCTTTTGTTTTAAACACAGATACTTTAAACCATCATGTTTCTATAGTTTTTATCACTGATAGTTTGAACTACATCGTTTTTTCGATGTGTTTGTATTTGTTTCACAAACAAGTTGAATAACCCACTGACTCGCGTCATGTTTGGGGTGCACTAACTGTTCATTTGAGATCTTTTGATAAAAGTAGGTCATGATTCATTGCATTGGGAGTCATCGAAACATGTATTTACATGTATTTACCAACACCAAACATATTTGGAGGTAATTGATGAATGATAGTTGAGTGGCTATTATGAGGGGTCATTGTTCTTAAGCTACCTGGTCTACCTGGGCTATCAGGGATCATTGGATCATGAACTAACCCAGAGTTGGGATAGGAGAAAGAACCCGGTATGTATTCCATGGTCCCAAAGAACCCAAAGCACCTACAGTAAACAATGTTTGTGCTTATATGAGTTCCGCATGATACCGGTTTAAATCAGGACGTATGCACCACATTAAAACAAGATGCATACCCGTTAAAACACTAACCAGCACTTACACATGACATATGCTTACTTAAGCGAGTAGATGGCTATGAATGGATACACTGGTCCGTCCCAGAATGGGAATCGAAAAACGCGCAGAAGTCCCCATGAATTGATCACCAGCATCTGGTGGATATCTCAAGGTTCTGCTGGGACAATCTACAGAAAACCATCGTTCTTTAAACCACAAAAAATGTGTTTTTTTTTGTTTGGTAAGGTCTCCAAAAAAAAAACATGTTGGGATTATCTGGTGGATGTGTTTTCAACACCGCAGGTCCCCCACAAACCAAAAAAACACACACTGCAATCAGAGCCAGCCTCCTTGCCGTGAACATTGACCTGTGCACGGCACGGAGGCAATACTCACCCAGGGTGACTGCGTGTCTTGAAATGGAACACAGGTAAAATGATAATACGAAACATGCAAAATGCATGACTATAGCGTTTGTCCATCAAATTGGGGAATTACACCAAATTGCAATCTTATATCAAACCTGATGATAGTCCTTTGAATTGCGGATACACCATTTTCAGACTGCATAAAGCATTTTCAAGACTGGCCTTATGGCTACGATCAAGTGTAGTATCTGTCTATCAGCATGACACCAAACCAACCTGTGCGGGATTCGATTGACCTCTCCTCTGTAGACTTCTTTTAGCCCAAGAAAACAGGTATTTTCGCTGCTCCGCAAGCACAAACAAACCCATATACAAAAATTATGAATCGTTTCTGACTAACAAAGCCTTGAATCTGTTTGGATACCCTCAAAGACCATTGGTGCCTCGTCACGTCCTTATGCCGCGCCAAAATCATGGTTGGCGGCTAATGTAGCCCCTGATACTGGTGGTTGGTGGTTGATGAACCTTTGATTCAATAAGACCCTGGTTGCTTTGGAATGCCTCTTCCAGGGTACCAAAGAGGATTTTTAAGGCCCAAACTCCAAGCACAACCGCTGCATCTAGCATCAAATAGTTGCCTAAGTTTTCATGTGTCATATATATATATTTGAAAGACCCTAATTATGGCACATTAGTTTTGTTGGCATACACATATTATAATATATATATACTGTACATATAAATATATATATAATTATATATATATTATATTATATATATACATATATCATATACATACGTATAAAAACCAGCCGAGCATCTCCCTATCTTCCCCATCCCGGCCCCAAAAAGTTTCCCATCCCTGACCTCGCTGAACTGCAGAAGTTTCTGGTGCTTCTCTCGAGGCAAACGGTCCGCCCAGACCGCGGTCTCCAACTGAAGCTGCAGGTGCTCCTGTTCCAAAATACCTCAGCGACTCAGCGGCTTCCAACATGGATCATCCGATCCTAAGTGGTGCATAAGCTTCCTAAGCCGAGTTCGTCCCCACAAAAAATGGGTTCCCAATTTATGGGTTGCAATGGTTACCATGTTACAAGTCGTGGGATGATCCTCCAAGAAGGCTTCTATGTGCTGTGCTCGGAGCAATTCATGGCCTATGGGCCCTGCTTCAAATCTTGGGTACCCCAAACTTTTATGCTATGGCTCACTAGTTCACTACTTTACTCCTCACCAAAACCATCCAAAACCTACAATTCCGGGGCTTCAAGTGGCCCGGCCTGTGGAGGGAGATACATCCAGGGTCACCTTCAGCTGCTGCGAGGGCTTCACAAGATCCACGTCTTCGCCCGGTGCAATGGTGATTGGCCCATCCAGGGTGGACAACCTGGGGTGGTTGAGCCACCCAGGGCCCAGGGGTCCTTGTTTAGGAAAGTCTTTTGGGGAGAACATATTCGGAGGTTTCCTAAGTCACGGTACCCCCAAATCATCCAAGTCATGGATGATCATTTTAGTATTGAAACCCATGGTGACTTGGGGATCGCCCATTTTGAGAACCCCCCCAGATGGATTTAAGGGACCCGAATTATGAACCAGTTTGTTTTTCCTAACTCAGCGTTGCTAAAGTTCACCTTAACACGTGTGTCATGCGAACACACCCAACCAAAGTGGCTTTACAATTTGTAGCTACCCTCTGGTAATTTAACATAGCTATTGAAAATGGCCATTTATAGTGGATTTCCCATTAAAAATGGTGATTTTCCATAGTTATGTTAGTTTACCAGAGGGTAACAATGATCATGATCTTTTGGGTGTTTCTAACAAAGTCTAACACTTGAGGACACCATTATGCAATCACCTGGAAAACGACTGTATCCTTGCTACCTGCAATCTATGTAAGCTAGTCAAGCTAGGGTTACTAATTCCACTAATTCCGCCCCCCATTAGTAAATCCGATCTCCGACCGGGTTTTTAATGGTACTAATTTATGGACTTATGGTATTAATGTTGGTAAAACAATAATCAACAATCCCCCGAATCACCGTTTGTATAGGTGGTATGAGACATTCCCATTTTGGGTGGTTTATGGCATTGCTTTACCCGCATTAGTTAGATATCCCATTATTATCCTATGATTATCCTACTATTATCCCCTGTAACAATTAATGATACTTAAATAATGTTAATGATGGTAAATAATGGTTGTTAATGATAGTTTGCTAATTATTGATGATTAGTCACTATTGGTACTATTAACATCTATTAACATCTACTACCCTCCAGTAGATTAACGTAGACCCTGCCAGATAGGGATTGGAAGACTAGTTTCCACTATAAACTGGTCATCTTCAGGGTCTATGTTAATTTACCAGAGGGTAACATCTATTCATCTGCTATCGTCCAAGCTCGCGCCTCATAGGACAGGGCAGCCGATTGCAGATCTGCGCCGCCGGCTCCAAGGTCACCTTAGAGCACTGAGAATGATGAAGGCTGTGAGGTATAGCAATACATTACCTAATAGCCTAATACACAATAAATATGTATTTATATGTGTATATATATATGTATTTATATGTATATATATATATATATATATATATATCAAACCCTGAAACACCTGAACTATAGTAAAGTAACATGCCACCAACATAGTTACAATTTACTGCTCTGTCTTTTTGGGGGTTACTATTTACATAGATCTGAGTAAATTGACCATCATCCCAGTGAGATACAAGATTTCTAGATGTAGTTTATATAACAGTGTATACAATTCCATTATGTAAGTGCCAATCAGTGGAACAGTAAGCACCAGAAGAAGGTAGAAACAGCAAATAGATCATTATTTGGACATACATATATATATATATATGATTATAAATGAATATGGATACATTGGGATTTCAGCAACTGATATGGCGATATAATGGAATATGAATGTAGTTCACCATTTGCTTCAGCATGAGTTTGCCGCAAAATAATTAGGGCTACCACTCATTTTGAATGTGTCAGACTGGTTAATTTGCATACTCTGGAACCAATTGGATATTAGTGATATTACACCCTGGAATTATATGATGCTGTAAAACTGAAATTATATAATGGGACATTAGATGATGTTAGTGATATTAGCCTCTGGTGATTTAACAGTTTGCTATGGAAAATCATCATTTGTTGGTATTAAACAATCTAGAAATGGGCCATGTTCCATAGCAATGTGAAAAATTACTGGAGGGTAACAGATGCTAGAGGATGCCAGAGGTTAATTCATTGCCAAAAGGAGTGATCCTGGCGCAACGTGACTTCTAGGAACTTGGGATACACCCGACATAATGTTACGTAGTTTTGTCTCAAAGTTTGGAACCATATTCCGTCCCATGAGTTTAATATGTTTCTCAAACATATTCCCTCAAACTTGGGACAAGTCCATGTTGATCCTCACATTTTTTGGGTATATCATGGTATCCCCACGAAGCCGAAGCTCCATGAAATCCCAAGGACAAATGGATTGATTCCCAACTTCTGGGTATATCCCACTTATTCCCCATTCAAATGGATTAAAGTGACTCGTTTTCCGCGCCCCAAATGAAGGGTTAAACCCCATGTTTGAAGGGAATCAGTCCACAATTTTGTGTAGTTAATGCATTCCCACAACATGTCTCTCCTTCACCACGTTGATTCTCAGGGATTTGCTTCCGTTAACCCCAGATTGAAATGTAGGTTCAAGTAAGTCAAACTTGGCATGTTGGCTAATTAAATCATCATTTTGAGACAAAACACAAATTCTACTGGTGTAACCATCACCAATTCATAACATTTCATATTGGCACCTCTTGACTCCCCCCACCCCAGGAGTCCCCAGGCAGCGTCACGCTGAAGATCAACGCCTGCATGGATGCCTGCAGATCTGCACTGACGCCGCAGACGGTGGCGCAGAGACAGGCACAGCTTTCGCCCGTGCGATCCGAGAGATGCAGCATCCTGGCGCGGTAGCCATGGTAGTTGGGAAGATCACCGGAAACCATGGGTTTTTATTGGCTTTTCTGAGGAATTTCTGGCAAAATCCTGTGGGGGATGGGTTGGATTCACTTTGTCACAGCCAGAATTAAGCCTAGTTCTGATAGTTGTGACCCCAGTTGCAATCGGGTCTTTTGTCAGAAGTGCTAATATATGCTAAGGTCAAAACACCAACGTTCTCCAACCGTTATGGGGATGTTATTGGAGATGCGTTGGATTGGATCATTCCCCATGTCGGATCTGGCCATTGGTGGTGGAAGATATGGCTATTGGCTCGAAAAGAGGGGGCACTGGCTGTTGGTCTCACAAGCACTGGTTCATCCTGTGCATCCTGTACTTTACCAGACCACCAAAATTCCAGGCTTAGCAATTTCGAGCCATACCCGACATGACGGGACAATGGCTGATCCTAGATACCCTGCAAAAACAAACTGCGCGTACATATGTACTGTATATATAAAGTATAATATATATATATGCATAATAAATATTTTTCACACTGTTCCCAAGGTCCCATTTCCGGAACTAAAACACCTACCAAAATCTTTTCCAATACGCAATTGGCATCGATATCTTCTGAATAGAAACCCACTAGATTCCACCATTCACAAGGTCTCCTGGATCGGAGAAAGTAGTCGTTGGCCACCATGCTCCGGTACCGTCGAATGGCTTGCCATGTGGTTTTACCCATCCTTCTCCGGCAAAGCTGTTGGAAGGGCTGGTACTGTACCATTTCCATCTCATCATCACTGAAAAAACTGTTGGACGCATTTGAGGGTTTCCATACATGGTGGTACCCCGATAGCTGGATGGTTTATAATAGAACATCCCATTAGAATGGATGATTTGAGGGGTACCTCCATTTTAGGAAACCTCCAGGTATTGCGAACAGTTCTGATGAGGTCAATTTCCAGGCTAAGATCACGGGGCAAGCCTCACGAAGGTTGGAAAATATGCAAATCTTCTAGTTTGGAACATGGGATTCTTGCTGGAGTCTGGAAACTGGCATTGTTCCCCCGTTTTTTTCCGTGGAGATGAACAGTCCAAAAACTGATTTGAGAATCAGACGTGATGTATGAACAACCATCTACGCTATAGAACATATCATCAATTTTAATAGGTAAATCAACTATAAATGGCCATTTTCCATAGCTATGTTGAGGGGTCTCAGCTGCACATTGGTTAAACACCAACTAAATTTTCAGCAACGTTGGCAATCAAGCATCATGGGCTGCAGAATTCCACAACGACGTTGAGGCCTCATCCAGCCTAGCAGCAAAATGGCTCCGTTTTAGAAAGACATGTTTGATGGGGAAAACGTGGATATGACTAACCAACCATGAATATACTGGATACTATTATTTTTAATGGATAATAACAATGATATATATCTGGAATTCATATGAACTCATGGGATATTTGTTTTATTACGCTCTGGGGATCGCTATGGAAAATGGCCATTTATGGTTCATTTCCCCATTAAACATGGTGATGTTTCATGGCTATATAATTATGTTAGTTTGCGAGAGGATACTCACTTTCGGGTGAAAGATAGTCAATACAGCCCATCATAGTTGTTTGAATGTTGTTGGAAAAGCATGTAATATTGGTAAAACAATAGTAAACCACCAATATGTTGGTTTTATAGTACAGTACCCATTTATGGTAAAATTGGGGATGGTTTATCCCTGTGCGTCAGTGTCGAAGTTTACCTCCTATGCGGACCATGTTGATGTTTGGGTTGGTTAAACATCGACATTCTCAACTCCTGTGAAGAAATCAATGGACCTCGGAAGTGCAAAATCAACATACATCTATTTATCATTCCAATTTCCCAATGTGTAGGGGGCCTTGGAAATAAATTTGAAACCTACAAATGTTGAATTTCCGGACGGAAAACAAATCAGCGAACCATATTTGCAAGTACTTGCATTTTCTATGTCAGAGTTTACGGGAAAACATGTGACCTTAAACGAGTTTGGAAATTTTGCCACTCTCAGAAGCTCATGTTAATTGTGGTACAGATTCATATGATTTAATGCCCAAAGAAATCGGGAACTCAGCCGCCAGAGGACCAGACAAACCCAACAAATCCTTAGCATGAAATAGCGTGAAGTACTCGTGAAGTTAGTGTGAAATGCGGTGTTGACCAGTGAAATGCGGTGTTTGCCCGTGGGAAAGGGCCACCCCATGACCCCATGCCACCCCCAAAATATATTGTTTTTTCTTGTTTGTTGAACCGGTCTGGTCATCCGGATGCCAGCCGTACCCAAATTCCTTGACTGGCCTCTGTTCTGACACCTCTATCATGGTGTTTTTTGTTTCCAAAATTGAGTTTGGGGGGAATCTAGAGCAAAAGACCCGCTCTCATACAAACATATGCATCGTTGAGTGAAAACAAAACGAAATCCTTTGGGAAAGTCTGTGTCAAGTGTGATTCAAAGTGACATCGCATGATTTTGAAATTTTGACTAATGAAACATGTCCAAGATCAAGATTCGGCAGCACTTAAAGGTTTGAGAAATTTGCTGCACCACATGTCTCAAGGGTAAACATCGACATTGATGAATAAACATCGACATTACACGAATGCGTAGGTAAATGTCGACATTAATGACATGCGAAGGAAAGTATCAACATTAGACATCCAGGGTTATTGTTTTACCATGTTTTACCAGCATTATAATTATATATAATTGTATATATATATATATATATGATATAGATTGATATAGTGTGTCTACATGTGTCTACCAGTTGGGATGATTCGTCGTCATGTCTACCTCGGCTCATTTTGTCCTGCCGGTATAAAAGAATTTGTTGCAAAGTCACTCAATGAAAGCAGTGTGATTGTGACACATCCCAAAACTTAGATTTACCTTTATGTTTGATGGTGTTTGATGATGTTTGATGGTGTTTGATGGTGTTTGATGGTGTTTGATGGTGTTTGATGGTGTTTGATTGTGTTTGATTGTGTTTGATGGTGTTTGATGGTGTTTGATGGTGTTTGATGGTGTTTGATTGTGATTGATGGGGTTTGATGGTGTTTGATGGTGTTTGATGGTGTTTGATGGTGTTTGATGGTGTTTGATGGTGTTTGATTTTTGTTTGATGGTGTTTGATGGTGTTTGATGGCGTTTGATGGTGTTTGATGGCGTTTGATGGCGTTTGATGGCGTTTGATGGCATCTGATGGCGTTTGATGGCGTTTGATGGCGTTTGATGGGGTTTGATGGCGTTTGATGGCGTTTGATAGCGTTTGATGGCGTTCGATGGTCTTTGATGGTGTTTGATGGTGTTTGATGGTGTTTGATGGTGTTTGATGGTGTTTGATGGTGTTTGATGGTGTTTAATGGTGTTTGATGGTGTTTGAGTGGGTCGTGAAAATCGGTGTTTTGATTGGTGTTTGATTGTGTTTGATTGTGTTTGATGGTGTTTGATGGTGTTTGATGGTGTTTGATGGTGTTTGATGGTGTTTGATGGTGTTTAATGGTGTTTGATGGTGTTTGATGGTGTGTGATGGTGTTTGATTGTGTTTGATTGTGTTTGATTGTGTTTGATGGTGTTTGAGGGTGTTTGAGGGTTGACTTCCCATATCTTGGTTGGTGAAATATCGACGTTTGATGCTTAGACTTATGTAAACTTGTTTCAGGACCACGCCTCTCTTCTCAGGATCAGTGTTGCCGGAAAGGACCGCTCCAAATGAGAGGGAACTCGCAGAACTGTTCATCGAAGGCATCTGGCAAGTGAATTTTGACCATGAAAACTTGAACAGGTGGCCTCCACAATTTTTGTACAATAGAACGTGATGATCAACCCACTAATTCTGGGGTATCCTCTGCCATTTCAAAAAATTACTTCACTTCGAATGATCCCCACCATGGCATATATACCTACATACCCTCAGTCATCATGCGGTTGGCATAAGCAGTGATATAAATACTTTACATATATTTTGTCTGACACATCTACAGATACATCTTTCTGACATTTTTTCCGACATTCTATCTGGCACATCTTCTCTCGACCTCCCCATCTATCTCGCATATCTAGCATATCTTCTGACATTCTATCTGGCATATCTTCTGACATTCTATCTGGCATATCTTCTGATATCTTCTGACAGTCTTTCTGGCACTCTATCTGGCATATCTTCTGACATTCTATCTGGCATATCTTCTGACATTCTATCTGGCATATATGTCATATTGAATACATATCGACTTATCTGGCATATCTTGGATCATCAGGCAATTCACAACTTCCTTTCTTCTGACATATCTTGGCCAATATAGACCTTCTTATTCTTTCTGGCATATCTTCTACGACAACACATTCTTTCTGACGATTCCTATTCTGGCTATCTTCTGACAATTTGTTTTTTTTTCTCGCATATCTATCTATCGTGAATGAGCATTTCTTCTGACATTCTATCTGACATATCTTCTGACATTCATTCTGCATTTCTTCTGACATTCTGTCTGGAGGCATAATCTTCTGACATTCTCTCCTGAGCATTCTTTCTGTGCGCATTCTATCTGGCATCATCTTTCTGAATTCTATCTGACATCTTTTCTCACATTCTTCCCGTTGAGGTCCGGCAGTGCCCACTGCGATATGGAAGTCGCGGTTGAGGTCCGGCAGTGCCCACTGCGATCTGGAAGTCGCGGTTGAGGTCCGGCAGTGCCCACTGCGATCTGGAAGTCGCGGTTGAGGTCCGGCAGTGCCCACTGGGATCTGGAGCTCGCAGTGGAGGTCCGGCTGTGCCCACTGGGATCTGGACTGCGAGGAGGAGGCGGCGGGTGAGGAGGCGGAGGAGGCGGAGGAGGCGGAGGAGGCGGAGGAGGCGGAGGTGGAGGCGGAGGAGGAGAACAGCTCTGATAAATCTAACAACCCTCACCTGGCAGGTGGGGAAAAAACTATTGATTTCTGGTGTCCAATTCCCAGCTCCCTCGTGACAAAAATATTGTGCTTGGGGAAGGACGGCCTTCAGCTCTTCTGTGACACCAACCCATAGACTCGATTGGCCGAACCAGTCCAGAGGAATGGGCTTTGGTTCCTCAGCAACACTTCAGGTTAGAGTCGGTTAGAAGCTTCTGACTCAGGCTGTACATGCAGGCGAATCTACTGCAAGAAATGTAGCCACGCGTAGAAGCAAAACATGTACCCTCCGGTAATCAAACGTAGCAATGGAGAAAAACAACTATATATGGTTGTTTTAATGCGAAAATCTAATAAATAGTGGATTTCCCATTGCCATGGCTGATTACCGGAAAGCAAAACAAGTTTGTTCTTGAGGCCTCAAAAAGTTAATATCCTCGACCCTTCAGGAAGTGTCAACCTAGACCTGAGCGTGTTTTTTGAGGTTTTTGGCACACTCCGAACACTAGATCTTTTTGGTAACTGCTGCATACCATGGTCCAAAACCTCAAATGTCCCCCGAAGATTTCCCACTATGAATCATAGATCGGGCTTTCCTAAGTCATAGGGATGTTACAACCCCGGGCATTTTCCATCAAAACCCTCCAGGCTATGTACCAATACCCCAATGGCCAAAGATCCGAGCGAGGCGGCAACTCCATAAAGCCTGGCAGCGATGATGGGACCATGGAAAGTGGTAAACCATGGTAAAACCATGGAAAAACAATGGAAAAACCATGGTAAAAAGCCATAAAATAGCTCCAGATAGCCCCACTTATGAATCCAAATGATTGGTTTCTGGAATGGTTTGTGACGTCTGTTTAGTTGGGTTTATCACACGTTAAATCACATGACCGAGAGGATCATCGGATCCATCTCTTGAGGCTTTGCGGAACATCAGATGACCCTGTTGGGAGACTTTGCCATGGGAGACCTTCAGGTGGAGTGCCATAGGGTGCCACCGAGAGAGACAAGTCGGTGCGATTCTCCAAAAAAAGAACAGAGCCTCAGCCGGGACAGCAGCCATTGGGATAATCAGTCCAAGTTCGGCTGGAATCGGCTGGACAACTTACAAAATAACCTCAACATACCAACCACATTGGTGTACGAATTGAAACCCAATCTAGTTGCATCTGATTGCATATGTGATTGTCCAAGAACTTTGAGGTAAACCAAACATCTAGGCTTGAAAACTACACAGCAGAGTAGACCGGTATTGGTTGTGAAGGTGTTTCCCTGCATCTCCCTGGAATTTTTTCACAGTTTCACATGGCGTCCAGGAAGAGCAAGATTAACTGTGAAAACACACGAAGCATTGATAAAAACAACTAAACGCGGAAATAGATCTACAACATACAATCAGCAAATGTCTCAACTCCGCGATTACTTCAAAATCAGGGCCCTTCAGGAAAATCCACTCGAAAAACAGTGGGTTGATTGCTCCAAGAATTCATGCGATATCCCGGATATCGCCCAGTTAGATCCAAAGTAAGTACAGTAGATGATAGCCACCATCACATGCCATACAAGGTCGTGACCCCAGTTGCAAGTTGGATTATAACCCCATAAACCAGGTCGATATATCTACCATAAACATCCATCCCAACAACAATTGGAGTGAACTAAACCAACGTAGCAGGGCACCAAATTGCAGATATTTAAACCAAATTCTAGATGGCTGATCCATATGGTTATAGATATTATGTGATATCAAAAATCCAAGTAGATGATATTCCAGTTTAGGCCAAGGTTAACCCAGTAACCATTCTAGTGTTACTAGTGTTCATCAGTCGTTCATACTAATACCTTATAGTATATATATATATATACATAGATATTAAAGATATTTGATGTATTATTATAGATATATTCTACTATAGATATTGTGGATATATGTTTACAAATGATATTACAAAATATTAGTTATAGATATTTATAGATACATTTCTAGATATATGATAAATATTAAAGACATTATAGATACAACATAA